GAGTAACAAAGTGCTTTTTCAATGTTTTTTGTCAGCCTGTCTCCTTAGGCACACCTATGCAATGTATAGGAAAGAAGAAATTCTTCCTGACTTGAATTCACAGCTGTTTTGCGGTAAATTCCGCAGCTGTGACCAGAAACTGGATGACCTTGTTAGTAGGACAGCCACAAAGTAGCCACAAAGTTTGGTTTTGATTATAATGTCTGTTTTTCTTCTTCTTGAAGTCTGTTCCTTAAAATTTGATGTGCTCATGTAATTGCAATGTAGTTCACTGCCCTGCTTTACCTCCGGTGATGGGAGTTTGAGACTTCGCAGAGGAGGAGAAGAGAAAAAGAGAGAGAGACAGACTGTCAGACAGACACAGAAGCCCACAGCATGGAAAAATAAATGATACCACTGATGGGCTTTTCTGTCAGTGTATATGAGTTATTGAATGCTTAAGCAGAAGTATTACATGCTTTTTCTAACCCTTATCCCCATAAAACTCAACAACTAAAAAGATAACCTGCATATAGTTTATTAGTGGTTTTACATGCATTCATCTTTTTCTCTTTTTTCCTTCTCCACTTTGTCTTTTAAAAAAGGTCTGTAACAGAAATACAAATCAGATTCCCTCCAGTGGTGTAGATTTTCATTTCTCAGTAGGTAGATGGAAGAAAAAGATTCATAATTCACTTACACTTCTGTGAATCCAAGATTTTTTGGAAGCAACTGATGTTTTGAAAAATGTGAACAATTGGAGCAGGCATCTTATGTTCTTCTGGCATCTGGATTGGAAGTCTTGAGCGCCCCTTGTCCAAAATGCAGCCCCTTTAAGGTATCTTAAAGAAACATGATGCTGATTGAGGCCTCTGAAACAACTCAGGGCTTTTCAAAAACCTGGTGGTTGGTTTTAGCAGTTCCAAATGATTACTTTCAGGTCTTGTTTACTGTCTTTGGCCATGAATTCTAGAGAGTTTCTGAGCAACACTGGTGCCATCCTGGTGCACATTTCTAAGCAGTCATGGCTGTATCAGCTGGGCAAGACGAAGTGATGCCACTGCCCACCCT